CTCCCCTCCCCTCCTCCTCCCTCCCTCCCTTCCTCTTCTTCTCTTCCTACCCTTCTTCCTCCCTTTCTCCTTCCCTTCCTTCCCCTCCTCTCCTCCTCCCTTTCTCCTTCCCTTCCTTCCCCTCCTCTCCTCCTCCCTTTCTCCTTCCCTTCCTTCCCCTCCTCTCCTCTGCCATCTCTCTATTTCCCTTCTTCTCTCCTCTCCCCTCCTTTTTCCTCTCTCTCCTTCCTTTTCCTTTTCCCTCCCTTCTTTCCTCATTTCAACAAATATTAATCAAATGCCTCCTAAGAGCTAAGCACTATTCTAAGCGCTGATCTTATTGTGTAATCTTCACAGAATCCAGGGAATTGGGAAGTACCCACCTCCTTTAACATGAAGTAACTGGACGTAGGGAGAAGTAAATTCCAAGGTCACACCGATCACCGGCCCAGCCTCAGATCTGGTGCTCAAAATAAGTCTGAGTCCCAAGTTTACACCCTAACCATTGTTCTAAATATATGACACAAGCTATCAAGCTTCTAGAAGTTTAAAATATTTGAAACTAAGTATCAACCAGCCACCAACCTGAGAAATGAACTGATGTATCAGGACTTGGGCAACTGCTATCATGCTTTACTCATTCAGTCCAAATATTTATTTGAGCATCTGGGTTCTTACATTAAAAATTACTTAATCTCTCTACATCTTGGTTTCCTCACATAAAATGCAAATATTAATGGTAACCCTGCAAATACAACAAGCTTGGTTTGTACATCAAAGTGGAACATACAAAAATATTTAGCAATTTGCCTACATAATGAAAGGTACACATCTATAATTCCTAGGCTTTGACCCATGGCTGAGAAAAATATAAGCTTAACATTTCAAAGCCCAGTGGTTTCTGAGTAATGAACTAAAAATCTGCTTTTGATAAGCATCCAGTCAGCCATTTTTGTCCTAAATGATGTCCTAAATGATATTGCTAATAGTGGAACTCACTCCTGGATAGTAATTCTTTGTTAAAATTATATAGGTTTTCATTATGGGAAGGAAAGTCAACTATTAATTTCATTCCAGTAAAACTTCAAATCATTTTAATTTTCAGGTCAGGGCTATATGCGGGAAGCACGGATTGTATCTATCGTTGAGCCTGCTGGAAACATTGCTTAACCATCAAGATTTGGGCTACCAAAATGAAATAAAGTAAGTTGACTAATGTTTGTACCTTTCTCCAAATTGATATGGTGATACATAACTCTTAAGGTGATGTATTAGAGGATGGGGTCTTTGGGAAGTAATTGGGTTTAGATGTGGTTGGTGGAACCCTCATGATGGAATTAGTGCCTTTATTAAAACAAGAAGAGACACCAAACTTTCCTCTCTCTGCTATTGATGATGTTAATAAGAAGGCCGGTGTCTGCAAGTCGGTGGGGGGGGGGGCCCTCCCCTCCACAAGAACTGACTCTGCCAGTCCCTTCGTCTTGGGCTTCCCAGACTCCAGAACTGTGAGAAAGAAGCGTCCGTTGTTTAAGCCACCCCACCTGTAGTATTTGTTGTAGTAACCCAGACTGACTCACACAAAATTGTATGTGCAGATTCTGATGTTAGGACGCCAAACAGAGATTCATCTTTAGACTAAGGCAATTGATTTCATCACTAGATTGAGTTAAGAAATATTTGCTCATATTAATAAGACTGAAAGGTCTTCTTGGCCATAGAAACACAAAGCAGACTACTTCTGCTTCCACTACTGCAGACTAAAAAAAGCTGGATTGACCGTTCCACCTTGAACAACTGAACAATAGAACAGAATATATAAAGAAATGGTTCTCAGACATGGGACGTCATGCAGCTTTGATTGATGTGATTAATCTCAGTGATTTCCTGAGAGAAGAAAACCAAAGCGAGTGAACACATGTTAGTGCTTAGGAGGGAAGGATTCAAACAGAGCCCGGAATTCTCACGGGGTTGAACAAATAGAGCTTGAAGCTCAGGATGGCCAGGGACACTGGAATGTGCAGTGCAGAGGAGCAGGAAGGAGAGAGCTCCAGGGCATACTCTCCAGAGATGTTCAAGAGGTGCCCTTGAGGCTCAGTGCCCGCTCAGTGGTTAGGATGCCGGCCCTATGCACCAGTGCTGGTGGGTTCAAACCCGACCAGGGTTTGCTAAACAACGACAACAACAACAAGAAAACATCCAGGCATTGTGGCGGGTACCTGTAGTCCCAGCTACTTGGGAGGCTGAGGCAAGAGAATCACTTAAGCCCAGGAGTTTGAGATTGCTGTGAGCTGTGACACTACAGAACTCTATGGAGGGCAATATAATGAGACTCTGTCTCAAAAAAAAAAAAAAAAGTATATGTACTGGCTGACATATCTATTTGAGGAAACTACCCAAGGTCAGGGAAACACCAAAAGAAAGAGATAGAAACATTCTAATTTCTCACGTAGGTTTGGGATAATCCTTGTTTCCACCAGGCAGTGAGGAAGACTTCCTAACACATGTGGCATCAAGAGAGTCCTTAGAAAGGTGTTACATTGTAGTGGGGACAGATTACCCCAAACAAACTCAAAAACTAATGAAGACAATGCAACTTTAAATGTTCCAACAAAATTTAAACATAATCAAAATGTTTCTGAGCCATTTACTATCTCCAAGAAAAAAGCCCCTCAATTTTGAAGTAATAAAAAACTTGAATAATCAACAATATAAAAATGTACTATAATGTACACAAAACTTGCCAAGTAGGAAAAAAAGCAGGAAAAGTTTTGTCTGTTGGTGGTGCCTGTAGCTCAGTGGGTAGAGCACCAGCCAAATACGCCAAAGCTGCTGGGTCGAACCTGGCCAGGGCCTGCTAAAGCAACAATAAAAACTGCAACAACAACAAAAAATAGCCCAGGCGTTGTGGCAGGTGCCTGTAATCCCAGCTACTTGGGAGGCTGAGGCAAGAGAATGGCTTAAGCCCAAGGGTTTGAGGTTCCTGTGAGCTGTGATGCCACAGCAGTCTACCAAGGGTGACAAAATGAGACTCTGTCTCAAAAAAAAAGTACTATTGGGCAGTGCCTGTGGCTCAAAGGAGTAGGACACCAGCCCCATATACCAGAGGTGCTGGGTTCAAACCTGGCCCTGGCCAAAAACTACTGAAAAAAAAAAAAAAGTATTATCTATTATTAGGAGAAAACCCAATCAATTGAATCAGATTCATAAACAGCATAGTGAATAGATTTAGTAAACAAAGATGTTAAAAGAGTGATTATAAATATATTTCACATGTTCAAGAAGGTGTGAGAAGAGCATAATGAGAGATATGAAAGATGTAAAAATGACCCAAATAAAACTTCTAGAGATGCTAAATGTCTTCTCTAAAACAAATAACCCTGCTCTGATAAGGAGAAAAAATTAGACAAATTACAACAAGGGATGTTCTACAAAATGCATGACCAGTGCTCCTCAATACTGTAAAAGCTATCAATATATCAATATTGGTCCATGAATTGCAGAAAATGTACCCTACTAATGTAAGATGCTGATAAAATGGGAGACTGGGTATAAAGTATATGGAAATTATCCGTACTATCTTTAAAGTTTGTTCTGTAAGCCTAAAACTATTATAAAAATTAGAGTGTAGAGTGTTTTTTTAAAAAAACATAATGTCTAAAAGAGAAATATTCATGATAGCAACAGAAGATTGAACATACAGTAAAAAATAACTGAACTTGAAGACATATAAATAGACAATGGGAGGGCCCCATACAGGGGCTCACATTTGTGACCCCCATGAGCCAAAATGGGAAGGTCGCTTGAGCCCAGGGGTTTAAGGATACATCAAGGTATGGTCACACCTCTACACTCCAGCTTGGGTGACAGGGTGAGAGCCTGTCTCTAGAAAAGAAAAGAAAAACATTTATAGACTACCTAACTAAAACTCAGGATGAAAAAAAAATGAAGGAAAAACTAACAGAGCATCATTGATTTTTGTGACAGCAGTAACTGGCAAATATGTGGGAAGCTGAAGTCTCGGAAAGAGAAGAGAGAGATAGGGGAGAGAGAAGAATGTGGAACAAGTCGTAGCTGCCACTTTTTCAAATTTGGGAAAAATTGTAAAGACATGGCCCCAAGAAGCTCAATGTGCTTCAAACACAAGAAATTGGAAATAAGCCACGCGAAGGTTCCTCACAATCTAACTGCTTAAACCAGTAAGAAAGGAAAATCCTTAAAAATACAGAGATAAAGACCAATTACAGCAGTCCATCTTTATCAGAGATTTCACTTTCTGCAACATATTATCCACAGTCTGAAAATACTAAATGGAAAACTCTAGAAATAAATAGTTCCTACGTTTTAAATGGTGTGCTGTTCTGAGCGGTATGACGAATCCTGAACTATCCTGCTTGGTCCGGCCAGGGACACGAATTATCATTTTGTCCCCATCTCCACATTGTATACACTACCCGCTTCTTGGCCACCTAGCAGCTGTCTTGGTTATCAGGTGGATGATACTATCACAGTGCTCGTGTTCAATTACCCCTTAATTTACTTAATAATGGCCTCAAAACAGGAGAGTAGTGTTTCTGGCAATTCAGAGGTGCCAAAGGGAAGCCGTAAAATGCTTTCTTTAAGTGCAAAGGTGAAAGTTCTTAATAAGAAAGAAAAGAAAATCCTACACTGAGGTTGCTAACATCCATAATAAAAACATGTCTTCTACCTATAAAAGTCTGAAGAAGGACAAAGAAATTAGTGTATAGTATCAATTCAGCACATACTTGTGGTTTCAGGCATCCACTGGCGGTCTTGGAATATACGCCCCAAGGATAAGTGGGGAAAGCTGTAATTTGTTTCTCAAATTTTTAGTAGGATTCTGGGCCTGGTGCTTGCTGTGTTGGAATGCTACTAATTATTGATTCAATGTCTTTAATTAGTAAATTTACCCTTTCCTCAGAATACACCAGAATCTGGTCCCTTCTCACCCTCTTTGTGGTTACTTAACCATCCTATGTACACCTCCTTCTCCTGGGTTTCTATTATCAGCCTCTTAACTAAAACCCACTTGTCCATAGTTTATGCTCCACTCAGCAATTCTACTGTCTGTTTAAAAACCTAAAACTGTTGATATGGTTGCTCTGCTCAAAGCACTGCAAGAGCCCCTCATTTCACCCAGAGGGGAAAGTCTGAGTCCTTACACAGAGTTCCACACGGTCTGCTCCCTCCACACCCTCTGTGGTGCTATCTGAAACTCTCTTCGCCCTCTGGGTTCGAGTCACACTGTGCTCCTGCCTTCCTCAAACACACCATCCAAATGCCTTCCTTAGCCCCATCCTTTGAAGGTTTCCTCTACCTGGAATGTTCTTTCCCCAGATAGCCTCATGCTAACTCCCTCGCCATCCTCACATTTTCATTCCAATGTGTCTTTGTCAAGAGGCCCACACTAATGCCCTTTCTGAAGTTGCCCCCCCCATCCTTTCTTCCCCTTAACTTACTCCCCTTTTGTTTTCTTCTCTGCTTATCACTTTCTAATGAATTAGGGAACTTGCTGATTCCTCGCGTTTATGCTTCCTACCCCTCACTCCCTGATACACCATAGCCTGCACTTACAAGAGGCAGGCAGGAGCTTTATTATAGTCACTGATACGTTCCACGTGTCTAGAGAAGTGCCTGACAGGAGCAAGTATCCAAGTTCACATCGTATATCTGGTACATCATAGAAACTCAACAAATATTTGTTGATTAAAAATTGAGGTCCAGAACCAAGATTCCAAGAATCACAATATGAGATCAAGAGAAAACACCAAGTAAACAAGGTTAGGCTACTTATTATTCCATCAATAGTCTCAATTTCTCACTGTTTTTGTACAGATCGAAGAAGCACATAGATTTCTTTATTCACCTGTCTTTGACCTTTAAATGTTCAAGGACATCAAAACCATGAGCACCAAAGAAGAATCGCATTTGCAAGAGATAAACCTGTTTCATCCTTAAACAGTCATTGGCTAAAGCTTCTTCTGTTGAATTAAATCCATTCCGTTAAGAGCTTTGTATGCAAACCTATATCCTTAAGAGATTAAAGATGCAATTTAGACACACATTTCAGGAGCTGAATGCACGAATCATTATTTTAGTACATATTGTCCATTAATCTGCTGTTCAATTGGAAACCCATTTGGAATGTGGCTGCTTGCTAATTAGCAGGATTCTAGAGCTGAGCT